TAATTAAAATAAAAATTAAATATTATTATTTATTTATAATATATTGTAATATAAATAAATAATATAATTAAAACAAATACATTATGAATAATTAAAACTTAATCTCTCAACTGTAGGATATTTTGAAAAATATATATTATAATATAACATGACTTAAGCTTTAAATTAAAATCAAATTTATATTTTATGATAAAAATAAATTTTAGATTTTATGAAAATTATTCTTCATTACAGAGTACATCTATTTGATTAAAGTTTATAAAATGTAATCTTCAAATATTATGCAAACAACTGTAAAAAGAAATATTTTAATAAAGCTCCTACCTTGTAGAATTTAAGTACAATTTATTATTAATATCATTTAATATCAATATCTTTAATTATTTAATGATTTTGTTTTAAATATTGTCAATAAGAAGAACCTAATATTGTTAAATTAACTATTCTATTTGATCTATTCTTTTAAATTTCATTCCTATTGTACTATTTCGTTACATCGCATAGGCTAAACAGTTTCTCGAGAAATCGCAAACTCATTTGTTTCGGACACGATCTTAATTTTATTTTTACTTGCTTACGACTTCTGTTACTTATTTTTTAATAAATTTAATTACCTTAAAAAATAACTCCAAATAAATCTAGTATACCAAATCGAATTTTTTTTATATAACACGAATACGTAATTACTTCCACGTGATAAGATATAATAATTGGTATCATTGTTTAAAAATTACTCTTTGGAAAATGACGCCACATTAAATTTAAAATATTTACAATCTGAAAATTAAAAAATTTTTATTCATGCTCTTCGCATAATTATAATTGATACATGATACGTACATATTTTGTAGTCAAAATTATAACATCATTTCGATTTTCCATAAATGCTTTGGAAAAAAACTATGTATAACAGTTATTAATAGGAATATCTGGAATCATTGCAACCTTTGATAATAATTAGCTAATATGTGTAATTAATTACTTCTGTTCAATACAATACCTTGTTAAATAACCTTTACTATAGTTTAACGTTTCTATTGACAGTAGAATTGAAGTAGCAGGAGCAAACAGAACTATAAATTAAAATTGGTAGCCTATATCTTTCTCTCCTTATCTAATATCACTCTATCATCCGCTATCATTCTACATTTCTGTTATTAAAGGAGTATGTACATATATCAGGAGTAAATGAAATTATAAAATAAGAATGATGGCATTATCTTTTGTCCTTATCCTTGATTATTCCTTATGTAAAAATTTCTTTTTTCTATTTTATCTTTACACTTCTCTTTGCATAGCAAACTCTACGCTCATTCTGTGAGCCTAATATAAGAGGATGCTCCTAACTGAAAATATTTGAACAGATTGACGAAATCAGAGAATGTGCTTACAATAGGAAATTTAAAATTTATAAATAAGGAATATAGTAAATCTATATTATATTTTAGTTATTAAATAAGCAATTCAAATAAGTATAATTATAATATTCCTGATAAATACTTAAAAATTTTGTCTATCGAATCGGAAAATAAGATAATTTTAGTCATAAGATAATAATTAACAAATAGTGTGCAGTAATAAAATGAATTAGTTTAATAATACTAATATTTTTAAATTAAAGTTTCATATCAACAATTTAATTATTTTTTAATTTTATTATGAATTTAAATTACGTATTTATATCTCTTTATATATTATATAACTCTCTATAAATAAATATTTCTTTCTTTCAATATTACAATTATTTTATATTAATATCGTTTTATAATAATTCTACATAAAATATCTTGTCAAATACAATTCGAAATTTCGTAAATATATTTGATTTCTTTTTAAGTAAATTTTACTCAGGTTAGGTTAAGTTGTTGTGTCACCCACGTGGATTGTACTTTGACAACCAACATGTCAGAACCGCTAGCATTGCCACAAAAAAAGTATTATAGACAACGTGCACATTCAAATCCTATAGCGGACCACTGTTTTGAATAGTAAGCAATTATTTTGTGTATAAAAAATATAAATTTTAATTTTAACGAAAGTTAGATTTTACATTAATATTTTTTTCTTTGGAATGAAATTTCAGCCCTATTAAACCAAATTTAATGGACTGGAGTTCAATATATCCACATTATTTTCCAATTAACAAAGAAGAATTCAAAGAAAATAATGTTTCACAAAAATGTGTTGAGTTTGTGGATATTGGTTGTGGCTACGGAGGATTATTAGGTACAACAAATTTTGATTTTATATATTATATTGTTTTTCTTATTATTAATAGAATATTTTATGCAATAGTTACACTGTCACCAATGTTCCCTGATAATTTAATTCTGGGTATGGAGATTAGAGTAAAAGTTTCTGATTATGTTATGGATCGTATAACTGCATTAAGATCACAAAATATTGGACAATACCAAAACATTGCATGTTTGAGAACTAATGCAATGAAATATCTACCAAATTACTTTAATAAAGGCCAGGTATAATAAGGTATAACTATATTTTTAAACCTACAATTTTGATTATTTTTACTTATTATTTTATGTTTGTAGTTGAAGAAGATGTTTTTCTTATATCCAGATCCACACTTTAAAAAGTCTAAACACAAATGGAGGATTATAAATAAGACACTTTTAGCAGAGTATGCTTATGTGTTGACTGAAGGAGTAATATATTTTATAAAATATTATTTAAATCCTTTTATTTCTCTTTTATCTCAATAAATAATTATAAATATCATTTAAAGGCCATTATATATACAATGACAGATGTTAAAGATTTACACGAATGGATAGTAAAACATTTTCATGAACATCCATTGTTTGATGATGTTTCCAAAGAAGAACTGGTAAGTTTTGTTACTTATTTTATCAGAACAAAACTCATAATTACATTACAAAAAAATTTGTTTATAAAGGATAAAGATCCTGTTGTTGAGAAATTATATGAAAGCACAGAGGAAGGCCAAAAAGTGACAAGAAATAAAGGAGACAAATTTCTAGCTGTATTTAAACGTGTTCCAGATTCATTTGAGGAAAAACATAGTTGATAACATAATGCCTTATATATTTGTACATAAATGAAGACATATTTTGTAATCACTACACAAAAGAGACTCTAAATCCTGTTCTCAAGTGTTGAGAATGTGATTCATCTTCATCATCAGATGTACTATTAGCTAAAACAAATATCATTTAAATAAATGTTAGACTTTACCAAAAAAAAAAAATCTGCAAAAGATTGAAATGAATAAATTACTACCTTCTTTGAAATTATTTTCAAGGTCAGTTCTTTTTTGTTTAGGTAACATTTTGATGTAGTTACGATGTCGTACATCTTCATTATGGATTAAATGCGTAATTTTTAAAGAAAACTCATCATGTACTATCATAAATAACATCTAAAAAATAATTTACAATTAGGTCTCAATAGAAAAGTAATTCTAAATGAAATCTTTTTCTTTACTTGTTCTAGTATCGAATCAATAAGTGTCAGTGGCGGCGATATGTACGATCTACGTACTAATGTTCTTCGTTCCGAAAGATCCATCATGAATTGAGAATAATACAAATTTCTTTTAGGAATTAAATTATTTTCAACTATATTCTTAAATCTTTCACTATTAACAATGTCCCTAAAAATGATTAATTTTATTGTCTTACTACAAAATACCTGATTTCGATAATAATCACAATAACAATTATTTATAAAAATATTACAAATCAAAGAAGCAACTTTTACCATAACAAGCCTTCCAAAATAAATGTTACTACATAGAGCTCTTTCTCTTTTATAATACTGCAATTTTTACTATCATCAAAAAAAATCATATTTGATGGAGAAGCTTTCAATTCTTCTAATAAAGTTACTCTTATATTTTCATCTTCCACAGGATATATACTGGAACGTAAACTCAATGTTTTATAATATTGCTCTGGTTTATCAAGTATTTTTAACCATGGTTTCTATATAGAACATCAACAATTTATAACACAATGTCTTCATTATGAAATATTAATTATTAGTTACTTACTGGCACATGAATGCCTTTTTCTGTAATGGTAAATTGCCCTTCTAATTCCTGATTGAGAATATTATATTTTATAATACTTCTTTGGTAGTCTCTTCGTTTAGTAGCATTAAAAAATATACAAAGTATTTGAATACTGATTCGACAAGAATACCCTTTAGTATAAACTTTTACCCTAAAACTTTGCACTGCATTTGGATGTAATATACCCTTCCGTGGAAATACGTCAACGTCGAGCATTTTTGAATTATCGTGACTAGAGATATTTAGTAATTTAAAGAAACCTAACAAAGAATCACATTTACTTAAAAATTCAAAGAGTACCATTTCCACTCATAAGCGAGTGCATCAAAATCTAAGTTGTTGTATATTAGAAGCATTTTAACTATAGAATTATGTGTAGATATACAACATATGTCAATGCAATCAACACTGAAATATGCAGGAAATAATGGAGTTTTACAAGCACAATAAGATGGTATTGTTTTTCTAGTACTGATTGATCTAAAATCAAAAGTTGCCTCTCCTTTTAATGTCAATTCTTGTGTCTTATCACCCATGGTTATTGGAAATGTTACCTAAAAAATGTAATATTAGTAATTTCTAAATTATCTAATTTTCAATTTATAATACCTTATATGCACCAAACATTCTAGGTTGAAAACTGAAAAGGAGAGGAATAGCAGTTCTAGCTTTTATGATACCATTTTTTGCTAAGCATGAAAATACTCTACACTGATAGTCATTATTTATTTTATAGATATTATTAGTATCTATAGTGTATGGCAAATCATTATTTGTAATATTGAATATCCAATGTGCCTAGAATTTTATTATATTAATTTATCTTATACTGATATAAAGCATGAAGAAGATATAAAACTATTATACCCTATATGTTATTCCCTTGTTTCCAAAATAAATGTTTCCAAAATTTATTATTGCAGTACTTAAGAAATAATCTTGTGATTGAGATTCAGTTAGACAATTAATGATCACGTTTAAAATAATATGACGATCATGTCCAATGTCTAAGTCCCAACATATAACTGTTTTTCCAACCAATGTGTATCGTATACTCATACCAATTACAGTTTCTTCTTTTGGCTGCAAAATATAATCAATTAATATTACTTTCAAGTCTATATTTATTTTAATAGTGTATTTTGTAAAAACTTTAGTGAAAATAAAAAAAAATATACAACTTATATTTAAAGTTTGTACCTTTAGTATATTTGATTTTATGTAAGCTATACAAAGATTTTTATGTATGCATTCAGTTTCAGTATGTTCAAGCAAATAATTAACTGTTTTTACAACAGGTTTACAGGAACATTGCTTAATTCTTTTTAAAGCTAATGAAACAGGTAATGTTGAAGGATTTATTATTATCCACTTAATTAAGATAGTTCCCTCATTTATGAGCATTGGGAAAAGATCAATGTTTATGGCTTTTTTTTCTCCTGGCAATATATCTCCCAAATTTTTATTTAATCTAAACAAAATAATCATCATGGATAATATATCAGTAACATAGTACAATTAAAAAAATTAATATACCTATTTATTTGCAGTGTATGCCATAAAAATTGTTTGCTTATATGCATTGAATAGTTTTGATTATATCCAAAAGCACATATATTCTGTACCTAATACATATATTATATATATAAAAATTATAATTTTATGTAATTTGGTATCTTTATGATTAAATTAATTCTAATTTTACTTTTATTGTGGGCAAAATACACATGCAACATACATTGCAAATTTGTATTGGACTTTGTCTAGCTACTAATACATCTGATCGAAAACTAATTCTTATTAGATACTGAATTACAAATTCATAATATACTGCTGTACGTGGAGTAATAGAAACTATAATTTTTTTACGAGATCCTGAAAAAATTGTTTCTGATAATGGATGTAATTTAACATCTTCTTCAATATTTCCAAGTGGCCAATTGCGATGAGTACAAATTAATTTATAATAAATATCTACTGCACTAGAATTAATAAGATCAAAAGATAACATTTTAGTATTGTTATATTCCAATTCTCCAAAATTTAATTCGTTTGGAGTAGCCTAAAAAATTAAGCAAATAAAAAATAAATGTTTTTTTATTTTTATTTCATATTAAATCTGAAAGTTACTTCGCATAAATTTTACCTTTAATGACCCTGTTGCACTATTTCCACGAACACGTATAGTTATACAGCGTTTTGATCCAATGCTAATTCCATTTTTTATAACAATTAAAACACATTGTACCTCAAAATCATAGTCTACATTTGATTCAGTTGGAGAAAAGGTGCATTCTTGATGGTATATATCATTTGCATTAATTTCTCCATTCATATGCTGCATATCAAGTTCAGGTGGCAACTGATAAAATTGATATCTATATATAAATAAATGTCTCTAATTAAGAAATATATTAAAATATTACTTTAATATTATGCACTTCAAAATGTATTTATTTAACATATTTTTATTTAAATAAGAAGGTTGACTTACTTTATTCTATGACGAGTAACATTTCGCATTCCCAGTTGTAAAAACTGCTGACAACCTGACATAGTTGTTGGAAAATTTAATACATTATTATTGCTAAAAACAATATTTGCATATTCTGCGTATCCTTTAAAATCTATATAACTCTCATTTTTTGTATTTCCATTAAAGTATATTGTCCATCTTTCTACATAAATCTGTTCATTTTGGGGTTTAGATGTCATTCCTACTACAATTATTTGATAATCTCTGTAATTGCATTATTTAACTATCACTAATTTACAATCAAGGTTGAATTTACAAATGCATTTAAAAATTATATGACATACTGATAAATTACACCAAGCATTGGTTTTACAATAAAGTGACTTGCTGGTGGTGAAACAAATTGAAACATAAGAGGTAAATGACCAAATTTCTTAATCAGAAAAGTGGTATAAATTGGATATGATGGCACACATGGTGGCATTATTATAGTTTGTGGAATTTCATATTGTGGTATCCATCCATTTGATGTGACAGGAAAAGAGTGACCTAAGATGTATAAAAACTTTAAAATAAAATATTTAAACAATTTTAATTAACTTTATCATAAACTTTTTTATAATATAATATTAGACCTATCACTGTTACTGATGTAACAAATGGAAAAGTAGATAGCATTTTATGTTTGAAGAAAACAGAACAAATTATCTCTCCTCCAAAAAGATTACTTTTTACATTAGGATTAAATGTAAGTTCAAACAGAGTAGATTGATTTGCATGAATTAGCATTTCAGAAGGTGTTATATTAAAAATTTCATCAGTATCTATAATATAATATATGAACTAAAAGTCATTTTGTAACATTAACTTTATGTTATTTATAAAAAAAGAAAGAAAAATTACCTTTTTCCCAGGTAATTAATAAACTTGAATTAGTATGGTTTGTTAGACATATCGAATGAGATATTTTCTGGATATTTTCTACATTTACATCTACTTGACCAAAATTGAAATAATGCCTTGATAAAGATACAGGGGGTATATCTCCTAATGTATCAATTACATCTCTCAAATATCCTTTAAAGCCATTTTTTTCTTTCCACGGATAAGTAAAAGAATCTATATTATCTTTCTTAATGGATACTGAGCTACAATAGCCATATAATTCTATAATAATTGGTTCCTATATTTTAGGTAAATTTTTAAATAAAGAATAATTTTTAATAAATAATTATAAAGTATTATTGGTTTAGTTTTTTAATTTACTTGATTTAATATTAAAACAACTAAATAATAAGTGTATCTTCCCTCTTTTGGCGGTGTAAACGTAATTGTAATATATTTTCGAGAGGAAGGTTTAATAATACCGTATTTTGCGTCTAACTGAAAAGACTTATGATTTTCGTCTATATTAAACATAAAAATCGCGGCAACTTTAGAATTATTCGTTAACTTAATTCGCTTTTTAACCTGAGGATTCTTTATCATGCAATTCAAGAAAATCTTTGTTGTTGAACAGATTACTTCAGGACCTGTTAAAAAATATTAAGAAATGAAATACATAAAAACAGATAAGAAATCGTTTAGATAATAAGATGAAACTAATGCACAAATAAATAAAAATTTTAAATTATTTCTATTGTACATAATTTTATTTTTAATAAAAATTAAGTTTGGAATATGTAATAAATATGAATTAAATCATTCGATATTCTGCATTATATAGAACCCAAAATGTATATCGCTAAATATAAATTAAAATACAAATAATTTTTAATTAAACTGTATACAGAGATATAAGTTTTATGGTAAATACCGATAGCATATCCATAGGTAATAATTTTCAGACACGTTCCATTGGAATCTATAATTATAAAATAATCAACATTTTTAGAAGCTACAAGAGGCCGATAATTTATTTCGCATAAGAATTTTTCATCAGGGCCTAACGTCCAAGTATATGAACGTAAATGAAATACATAATCTAAAGGATTTGTAGTGGGATCTCTTTGAACCTGATATATTTGTTCCTTCTGCAATGAACAAATTAGAAAATGCAATGTTTCTTCGCGAATTATAATTGTTGATTGAATATGTTGATAAAGAAATGAATTTTAAAAAAAATTACGTATCTACGAAAAAGATGTTAAAATTTACTTTTTTGTAGAAATATTTTTGCACTTTAAGTGAATAATTATAATTAAGTATCAAATATACTTACATAAGATTCATTCCAAATCTCTATTGTTTTCATTGCCGTTTTACCAATCTCCACATCACCATAATCGAGTTTAATTACTTTCATTTTACCCCAGAAATCGTCATTCATCTCAAAGATTTTGTTCCTCTTAACTTTAGCTAGAGAAGATAACGTTTGTATTGCAATGTATATATTTTAATTTAAAATGTATCTTGTCGAGATTATTGATCTCGATCTCGATCTCGATCTCAATCTCGATCTCGCGTGCTTGGTTCTCTCGTATATGGGGATATATGTCATAGACATGATGGTGACGTTATTGGTATTCTTTATAGCTTTTTGACAGTTCCTGTAAAAATGGCTCGATGGAATATTTTATACCTTCTTTGTTTATTATTTTTTGCGAACAATTACATAAATTATAGTTCGTCTACTTACGTTCAATGTGAGTCTTTTCGAATAAATACGATTGATTTTTCTTTATTATTTAAAAGGATATTTAACGTATAACCTCTAGTAGATGATATGGAGTCAGAAAAATTATGTCAAATACTCGGTGGAAAGTCACCTATTAACATCGCGACCGGTGCGGCGACAGTCTGGTCGAAATACATGTACGAGCAATGGAAAAATGTTCGCAGTAATATTCAATGTAAGTTCAAATTTACAACTGCTAAAGGATTTGGATTATTTGCAGTTATTCAAAAAATGTCCTTTAGACGAAATGGAACACAGTGCATAGATTATGTACAAGTAAGTAATGATAATGAGGTAATATGATTAGGTATTCAATAAAGAATTACTGAATTATTTAATAATATTGATTTGTATATAAAAATGTTTGAAAATTCCTTCTAGTTTATGAGAAAAGATCATCATCGGACGGAGAAGTTTTGTGGTTCTCTTGATCGCAGTAAAATAAAATATTATGTAGTTCCTGAACCAGAGGACAGTGTATACTCATCTGAATCACAACCATTAGTAAGGACTTATGCTGAATATGATCCAAGTGATCAAAAATCTAGTGCAGAATTAGAAACTGAGATATTCATTTCAAAGCAAAAATTACATGAGGGGGAGTTCCTTGCTCTTGGTATTGCTTATACTACTTTTACAAGTAAGTTTGTTTGATCTCAACAGTTTTCCATAAACATCAGAATACATTACATTTTTATTATACTGCTTAAAACTATAGACTGCAGTAACGTGGACATGAATGAATATAAATCAATTGGTCACAATGCCTGCATGCCTAATCGATTCTTTTGTGATGGAATTTACAATTGTGTACCAGCTATTTGTTTTGATGAAGATAAGTGTTCAAGACAGAATGAAATCATTAGCAATGGTACAGGTGCAAAAGTAAAAGTGGGTGCAGTGATTACTTTGATTTTATGCTTAACCATATTTGTTATGTGTTTATGGATATATAAAAGATCACAAAAGTTATGTTGGTCTATGGATTGTGTTAATCCAAATGCATGTCCAAGACCAGCACCATTACCGATAATATTACATGAGTATGAAGGATCTGTAATTCCATCAATGCCCTCCGCACCAATGTTAGAAGTCGCAGTTCCTTCATCAGTTGCTGATAAAAATTTACCACCTAGTTATGATTCACTATTTCCAGAGCACAGTAATTCTATTAGATCATAATCGTAAATATAAATTTTTATATGTAATTCATAGTGACAACGTATTTTCTAATGTTTTTTTTTTTTTTTACAAAATTATCAATTATCACCATCATCGTACCATTATCTATGTGTTATGTGAACATGTCCCAATATGTTCATGTAGCCACAAACAGGCATTAATAACATTATCAATTTCAGCAATTCCTGATGCCAAAGGATGGTTATCTTCATAAAGTAGCATCCTGTAATATTATATTTTATATGATATTATATTTTGATATTTAAATAGTATTAAAATGAAAAAAAAAATATAGTGTAATTTGTAATTTGTACTTATAAAACTTGCGTACTTTGTTTTAACATTATTCGCTTTAAGACGGTAATACCACAGCTTTCCTTGAGACGAAGGTACACGTAAATCGTTCGAGCCAATACATAACAAAGTTGGAGCTTTCACTTTATCAGCATGAATAATCGGGGAACACTGAAACATCTTCACAAGCATCTGAACTTGGTCTGATTCTGAGATTGGTATGCTTTCATCAAAGGGATAATTGGCTTCAGCAGCACACCTGAAATTAAATACATTATGCAATCAATAACTGAAATAAAAATTCTATTTGATAAATCTAATCTTTGTGTTATTGTGTTATTTTTTTTACTTTTTGTTATACTCTATTCTACATTTAAGCTTACTTCATTGTCTCTTCCTTACTCAGAGTATTGCGACTGTAATACAGTTAAACTAATTGAGAACTATGAAAAATCTTTAAAAATATGTGAACATTTTACCAGTCTGGAATATCTGATATAGTGTACATAGCAGCAATGTCGATTACAGGATTTCTGGCAACAACAGCTTTGTATAAATCCTAAAATGAATTGGCATATTTTATTAGACATTATCAATTTTACAAATTAAATTGCTAAATACAAATTTAATATACTCAAAAAGAATGTTAAATAATTTACGAACTTACTGGATATTTAGCACTTAAATGAGTGACTAAAAATCCTCCATGTGAACCGCCAGTTATTCCCATTCTGTCTGAGTTTAACCATGGATATTTCTGTAAAGCTTCTTTTGTAGCAGTTACGCAATCCTTGACATCAACATTTCCAACTTTTCCTTGGAGATATTCAACATTTTTAGAACCCATGCCAGTAGATCCACGATAATTAACTTGTACCACTGCAAAGCCTAAAATATATAATTTTTATTAAGAAAACTTATGCATGCATTATCAAAATAAATCCTTGAATATAAATCACTAAAAATCTAATATTTACCAGATAAAACAAACAAAAAGTAATCAAGTACAAATAAATTTGCATAGTTAGAATGAGGTCCACCATGTGGTACAATTATTAAAGGTACAGATTTATCACATCCACTATTTGGCCCAAAATAAATAAAGTTGAAGTGTTCTAAAATTATTAAAAAATATTTAGTTTATATTTCTCAATTATTGAAATATTAAATTACTTACTAATTTCTTCATTGTTATCATAATCATATTCTGAAGGCTCGTACATTAAATTTTCAGAACCAGGAATCGACGTGGAAACAGAAACTTTACTTCTTTTAATATGACCACTAATAACTGAATTTGAGTCAAACTTTCCTACTGTAAGCATAGGTGGTTCCAGAAGAGATGTTTCCAAAAATGCAATAACATTATCTTTTACATCCAAAATAATAAGACTACTTTTATCATTTTGAATTTCAGTTATAGCTTTCGTTTCTATGAATTATATATTTTTTATTAATAATTTAAAAAAATTTTAATTTTTTAATTTTTACTAATTATATTTTGATTTTTTACTTGTGTTAACGATATAAGAACGGGTATTATTCTGTTGAGGTGTACTCAAAAATATATATTGTGAATCAACGCTCCAACATCGTCTTGGTAAGCGGCCATATAAGCCATAAAACTTTTCAGCATTTTGAATAGGTATACTTGAAGGTACAATGTCAACAAGCACATCAGCCTAAATAGAAATCAATGACGTAAATTTAAATAAAATTAATATGAAACTAGATATGTTGTATAAATACCTTCGAATTTTCTGAATTGAATTCAAGGTACATAAGTCTGTGAGCATTATGATGTGCACCACCTGCTTCTCTTTCTAACCAGATTAAATATTTTCTATCAGGGCTAAATCTAGGGCTATGAACAGCACACCCATCATTTGATATCTTTTCTAAAAAATATATGTATCTGTATATATTTATTATCAATATTTATGTATATGATCTTAACTTATAAGTTAAAAAATAACAAAATATTTCTTACTGTATTCGCCATCTTTCAACAAAAATATCCAAGAAAGTCTATTAGTACAGGCAATAAGACCTAAATGTCTTGGCTCATGTTTCCAGGCTACACCAACTATACTTTCACTATCTTCAGTCCATAATACTTGTGCAGGTGATAGTTCATTTGGTATACCTGAGAGAGCTGAAATTGTGTCTGCAGTTGTATCAAGGACAGCAACAACTGGATGGTGTTTACCTACCAATTGTTCTCCCCAATGAGGTTTGTAAATATATTCATTACCCTGCGTTAAATATTTTATCAATTAAAGCTTAACTTAGTTGCACTATATTTACATTAAACAAAATAAAATAATTTACCACTGTTATTTCATCTTCTGCCTTTTTATCTTTATCCTCTTTATTACAAGGTTTCTGTTTATAAAATGGCTCAGATTTTGGTAGCTTTTTTTCAGCAATATATAACACTTTTGTTTTATCTGGAGACCATTGAAAAGAAGCAAATTCAGCTAGCAATAGAAAAAAATAAAATTTTTTAAATCCTATTAAATATTACACATGTATTAATATTTTACATCAATAATTACAATCAGTATATACATCTCCATGTACATCTAAAGCTGCTAAATCATAATTTTTTACAAGCCTTTGTTTATCCCAGATTTCAATAAACTGTTTTGTAGTGTTTTCAATTGTAGCTTGTCTCAAGACAGCTCTACGTTGATTATCTTCCGTAAAATCAGACAGAAGTCTATAAAAAAAAAGTATCAAATGTATATTACAATAATATAACAAAATTATATTTTTATAATAGATATGCATCATACTCTGTTGTAATATCAATGGGAAAACTTTCAGATTGTACTTGTAACTCAGAATTTAAAATATGTGTCTGAAAAAATTTTTGATTTGTCTTCCTCTCTAAATTTCTTTGAGACCATGCACTTTGTATTGATATTTTATTTTCATGTAGCTCTAGAATTTTTGCACCGCTTAGAGATGGATTTCGTGCTAATGTTTTGTATAAATTGACAATTTTTTCAATCTATAATATATTTTAAATTACAATTTTTCTAATTTTATAAGAATAGCAAATTAATATCTTCAATTTTTGCATACCTGATTTGATGCCATTATATGTACAGATATTTATTCTTCAACTTCTTTTCAAATTCTGTTATAGATCTGCAATGAATATGCTATAAATAGGCTTTCAAATCTTGATAAGGATCAGACATTGATAACAAGAGTAAATAATTAATAGCACAATAAATTTATGAGAGTGTCTCACATGATAACTTAATTATTTCTAAACGATAATTTGTGAATAAAAAGTACAATTATATTAATAATTCAAGATTTCTTTAAAAGAAAGTAAACATTGTTCTAAGATTAGACTAAGGTTATTTTATTACAAATATTATTATACCTCATTTATTTGATATTTTATATATATTATATTACAATTTATTTAAAAAATATTATTTACTAATAAAATAAATAATAACAAATATTAATAATTGTTTTCATTAAAATTTAAGGCTTTGATATTAATGTTTTATGCATAAAATAAATAATTTACAAAACACTAACAAATTAAAATGTATTTTATATCTTGTAATTATATTTTTAAAGGTGTTTGAAAGTTATTACGTACTTATTTAATAATATTTTTTACTTTTATATAAAAATTACTTGACTTTTGAGTTGGTAGCAATGGAAGAAGAAAAGAGCAATTTTAGCGCTAGGTTTGAAGTTATATGGATCATAAAGCTATGCTAGTTGAATGAAAATGTTAGACATTATTATAGTACAAACTTTCAATATCAATTTGCTAAATTTGTGTTTTTATTTTATATTAATTTGCAGCATACTAACACGTCGCAAGCTTCATGTAATTTGTACGCATAACATTATCAATAAAATTCTACAATAATTTTATTTTAATAAATAACACGATCCAACAAATTTTAACTTTTTCTCAAATCTTCTTCAAGAGAGTCTACAAAATATGATACCGTATAGCCAATTCGTGCTGGATAAAAAACTTAGTAAGAATGCTAGAATGGTGCGTAAAAGGTACACTCAACAGCTTATTTTTAAACTTTAATGATAAATTACAATTGTTCAAAAACATAAATAATTATAATTATGGATATAGATAAATTCGGAACACTCTAACCCAACTAAGATAAGAATGAATATCCTAATTTTTTATTTTTCGTGTAATTTATTTTAGCCAAAAATCGTGCGTTTTTATAAAAACTCATATTTTTCGAAAACTGGTAATAAAGTTTGCAGATTCGTATTTAGAAAGATAAACTCTATAAGAATTATCCAATGGATATTACAGATTTGAGAAAAAATTAAAATTTGTTGGACAGTGTAATCAAAGTATAAAAAAATTTATTAGAACAAAAAATTTATTTACAATCTATAATTTTACAAACTTATTTAAGCTATATACTTCATATGTACAGTTCGCAACAATCATACATGGTCTTAATAACTTATTCGAGAAACATATCTATAAATATCGTATAAAAATAATTTTGAATCGTTTTATATTTCATCGAGGTTAATGTTGTTTGTTTTTAAATAAATTTAAAACGGAATATTATAAAAGTACATACTACTACATAATTATAAAAGACCACTTAAATTGATACAAAATATTGATAAAAAATAATATAAACTGTATGAAATCTTATTAAAAAATTTTTGAAAAATTCTCACTAATATCGCGTCGTAAGTTTAGAAATTATCAAACAAGATTTCTTGTTTAAACATATGTTGCGAAATGTTTCCTTTTTGAAAGGTGCGTCATCTTTACATAAGATCAAATTATCATATAAATTAATGTACATACATATACATATTATATTAAGATATACTTATACCAACATCAGTCGTGCATTCGTTGAAAGTCATTTATAGTTCCGTTTTACGTATTCAAAGTGGTCTAACTCTATCGAAATTAAAAAGAAATTTCAATAGAACATTTACTTTAAACTATATAGTTTTTTAAACAATTTCATGTGTGGTAAATTTACTAAAGTAAATTCGCAATTAATCTAAACACTTACAAAGCATCATCGCGAATATAGAATGTAAATTATATCCATAAGAAGTATTTTTAATTTTCACAGCTAATACTTATCATGTAAAGCAATATAATTAAAAGAATTATCTCGAGACTTCTGAATTTTAACACATTGCCAATAATTTGAATATGATTCGCAATAAATATTTCACACTGAAAAATGTTATTTTACAACTCTGTTACATACGCTGGATTTTATTTCCAATACTTATGATACAAGATTTCATAAAAGAATGTTTAGAAATCCTTTGAGATTTCATAAAAACATATATCGTTTGAATGGCAATGTGCAAAATATAAAATTAGCTTAAAAGTAGTGTCACTATCGGCTTTTTAAAAATATATTCGGCAAACTTAAGATAAACGAGGATAAAAAAATTTTCTTTTCGTTACACGATTACGAAACTATAGTTGATCTACGCAATACTTTTGGTCACTGAATTTCTGTACGAAACTAACGAATCGATTTAAGTGGATCATTTATAATTCCGCTAAAGTATAGTAGGAGCTCGGCACTTTCGATCGATGAATTTCCCTTTCAATTGCCAAACAGAGCTGCTTTCTGCCTGAATTGCGCTCGCCTCGCTGCCTTTTCTTCCTCTTCTCGCTTTCGTTCCTCCTGCTCCATACGAATTTCGTCTTCAAATTTGCTTGCCTTCCGTAGCTGCTCGATCTGCGAACATGATAATTGATGCACCAGGAAACGTTAATTAACACGGACACGCTTTCATGAATTCGGAATTTGTCATGGCTGTGATTCGTTGCATTATTGTTCCTTTGCGGATTTATCTGCGATACAGGGGAGAGACGTTCGTTAAAAAAATGTACATTTTATAAAAGGATTCATTTTGTTGATATTCCGTCGATTTTTATATAAGAAAAGATATTTTATTTTATGTAAAAAATAATTGGATTATTTCATAGTCGCAGTCCATAATAAATTATTCTGGAAATACCGTGTAATATAGAAATTAAAGTACACCGTTTTACGTGACCTATCGATGATACAGAGTGTACCCTTGGTATTAAAAAAGCAATCACTCTTCTTCCTCCACACCTAAAGCTAATTTGCATTGGAATTTGCGACTTAAAATCTATAAAATTTTACTTCATCATACTGTAGTTCTATCTTGAGACATTACCTCGGTGGATTAAAATTGTACGTTCAATCAGTTCGAAAACTTTGGCACATTCGTTGTGTTTTCATTTAGTTAAAAGTTACGATACACGTGACAGGATTTTGTGATGTAATTCGATCTTCGTATATTTTTGCCTAATTTCTGAATGATTAAGACGGAGGAGAGCATTTATACCTTAGCCTCGAAGAAGTGTTTAGCTCCTGTTACTCCTACTTCATCGACATCGACTTCTGTAAGACGGGCAAGTTGGCCCAACCCTGAATCTTGTTCTAATTCACCGGCGTGTGCTTTGCGATAGATCAGTAGGAACTGTAACAAATTATAAATCTAAGATCTAAGTCTAAAATAGAATGTATGTAGAAGATTATAAAGAAAAGAAAAAGAAATAGGCAAAGATAAATTTTAAAGATATATACTAGAACTCATATAGCGAAAAGAATACATAACAGAAATTATGTACAAGCGTATTAATTCTAAGTAGCAAGCGTATCTTTATACAAATAAAATTAATTTCAGATTGTAATTGTAGAACTTAAAAATACTTTAAATTTTTATTTTAATGGTAAATCTTTAGACCCTTAAGTCGTTATCATTTGGCAGGAAACGTTTGGCAGCTAGTCTACGTCATTTTGATATAAAACGATCTACATCGAGGAAACGATGAGTAAGGAGGAAGGTGAACATTGGTCAGCGTGTCGGGTTCAGTGACGCGAGTGATTCACGGTGATCTATGAACGGACAGCCGATCGCGTGTATGCAGATCGAACGCTTTGTTCGCGGACCACGAAAAGTCACGTAGGGACGTCCAGGTATGCATTTGCATCGTACTCGAGGACTTTCCTCTGGCATGCACGCGTGTCTTCGCATTCACGATTTATCCTTCCTAGAGTAACGAGCACCGGCATTGCTTTCCTAGCGAAAGTTTCCTTTAATGCCATGCAAATATAACTTCGCACGCTCCGATTTTTCGAAAGGCGTTGCAAAATCGATGAAGCGGGATACACAGATGTAACAGATACGTTTTAACTATGATTAGAAAGTTTGGAAAAATTTAGGTGAACCTTCTTCGTTTGATTTGCTTTAGTTAGACACTTTCGATATTTAAATATTCTACTATACAATCATGGAAGTATACGTAACTTTTTCGCGAGTTTAAACTTAGAAAGTGTAAACCTGCTGGAAGTACAAATTCGATATTCAAAGAAGCTTATGTAAATGGTAAAACAGTTGCATACCTAACGACGAGCGATCTATCATATATTGAATAACAAAAATTTGCATTTTCAATCATTTTAACAACGATTACCTAGTCGCACATATATGCATATGTGTACACACATTTATTGCAGCGCTATTACAGTGAAGTTACTAGTCCCTACAGTTTGAATCAAGAAGAAACGATTTAAAGGAAAATCCTTGTTACAACAACTCAATAACTTTAGCCACAATAGTCTTTTTTAACAATTCTAACATCTGTCATAAAACATAATACACCGTGTACTCGTCAAAACTACAATAGACTTTGACACAGTGAAATATCTCACGGTATTTCATCACACTGTAGCTTTTCGCAGTTCGCATTTGGCATCCCTCTTTCAACGCTAGTACTTCAAAAATACTCTAAAACCAGTTTACGATGCACTTCACTGAAATAGAACGGCTTGACCCCCACAAATGTGCCAAGGGCCACACATGGAGAACAAACACCGTCCATGGTGAAAGAGCATCGCGTCGAGCACCCCATGGGGCGGTACTATTTCGATGGTGTATATGGCACGTGCGACCACGCATTAAACGCATTGCTCGTGCGTACAGAAATAAAACAATGTCCACCTTCGAAAGTAAAACGAAACAAAGAATTCTATACATCGTCGATAACAGTGAAACTATCCTAAGTCAACGAAAGTATTCCAGCTAGCTGCCAATTTCCGGTGAAATGAACCGGTTACATAAATCGTATTATTTCCGGCTTTTTATTCGCTATGTTACATATTTCGTCATAGAGGAAGGAGAAACATTGAAATGGTCGGCGCGTGTCCGCTGTGGTTTTCGAAAATAAACGGCAATCAACGCGCGAAATCGCTAACCTCGCGGAAGGAAATCCGTCCATCGCCATCCTCGTCCACTTCCTGTATCATTGCCTTCAAACCGAGGTGCGTCTGTGGCGCTCCTAACACTTCCATCATGCGTTTTAGCTCCGACAAATCGAGGAATCCATCGTGACCGGCATCGAACCTGCAAATAATTAAACACGTTAATTACATGCTATCGTTTCAGAACGAAGGCTATAGGGAAAAAATATATCGCTATAATTGGATACTCTGTCATCCTCTTGTATATTTTCACTTAAAATATCGCACCTCCTCTACGGGAGATTTAAATATCGATCATCGTTACTCGATAAATTTTCCTGGTCACTGTGCGTTTCAAATTTGGAATTTTCTTATCAGAAAACTAGTCAAATTTAGTAGACAATGAAGTAGACTATACGTTTATTCAATAACTGGCTTGAGCACGATGCAAGAACTCATTATGTTGGTACCAGAGTACTATAAATATAGAACAATGCCGATAATGTCCATTATTATTGGGTAATTTGACAACATATTGCTATGCACTATGTATTGCATAGAAACTAAATGTATGTAAACAATAAGTTATGTTAGTAACAATGCTAACTACCGTTAGAACCTTCTTCGTCCTAAAACTGAGTTTGATTAAAACTTAGGGCTTCTTTGAAGTTTACTAACTTCAGGTCTCGCAGCGTTCATCGTCAGAGGGTTAACGCGTCGAGTTCCATGGGGGTCGCTAAGTAACCAACTGCGCATAGCCAATGTCCCCCGTGAAACCTACCTCGTGTCTGTTACATTTCGATCACCACCTGTGACACGATTTTCTTCTCCTAAAATACGAGGATAAAACAAATGACTGTACTATCCCCGATGCAAAAGAAATCGAACCGTTCCACGAATATCCTGTTGGCAATGTTCTTCCGGCATGTTAAGCTTCTCGAACAACGTCTGGCCGCATTTTTTCGAGTATCTCCTCCTGAATGAATGCAAACGAAAGCGTTTGCCCTGCTTTAATCGCGTAACTCGTTACTTTAATTAGCGTGTAATGCAATTATATCGGAAAGGGGGAACGTGAGAACGATCGACAATCGGTGGTCTGTACCGATTTCGAAAGCGGGAACAAGAGAATGTCAACGAGTTGAGGCGTTCGTTGCGGTCTGCTCGCGAGCCGGAAGCTCGTGAAATCGACTTTCCGTGTAAACGATTCCGATAGCTACTCGCGAATAGCTTTCGAAGGGAGTTTACCGCGCGTGTACACCTCACCGTTGCCTGTCGATTCAACGAAGCACATCGTTCGATAAGATCGGACCGTGGAATTCCGTCCGATCTGATCGAGCTCTGAAAACCTCCACCGACTCGAAACATCGGCTGGCGAAAGAGTTAACTTTCATGGTTGCCTTTTTTCTGGGGCGCCAGTTCTCCACCTGGAGAACGCTTGGGCGAGTTCTCAACGGTGAATCATTTTTTCTAACGATTTATTGCATTTTTTTTTAGCTGACGCTTTGGCGTAGACGGAAATTTGTCAAATGCAATTTGACGAAACTGTTGAACCGACGGATGTTTCGGATGAACGCTGAATGACTTCGAGGGGAACGTAATTCGATGTGATTAGTGTTTTTGTAGGTGGACGAGGATGGAACACAGAAAGGTCAGCTTTATTCTTCCATTTAATGGAACTATAGATTTTTTAATGGTCCCATCGTTTAGGATAGACAGTTCAATTAATATTTCGAGAAGGAAATCTATCGACAAGATGATATCGGCTTCTTTGGACCACTCGAAGTAGGCGGACCTTAAGATACGTTTACAAAGTTTTGAAGAAAGAATCGATGGATTTTTATAACTGATATATACAATTTCTTATACTAAATTTACTGTGAAAGTTATCTGAGATGTGCAAGTTGCGTGAATCATCATGTATACAGATACGATGTCAGTGTCATCATATAAAATATTTAAAAATCTCGATATCGTATTGGATATTGATACAAGTATATTATCTGGCAGATTCGCTGCATCGCGACATCGTGTATGTTTAAAAACATGATTAAAAACCAAAAACCGAAAGTTCGAAAAAAGCTTTTATAATAATTGGTATAAAACACATACCTAAAGATTTCCGATACAGAGGTAACTTATTATTATGTTAATTTTAATCATGTAATATTATCATGCTAATTTAATCATGTAATATAGAAGAAAAAGAAGAGTTTGACGGAGAACGTGTTAATATAGAAAGTGAAAAAGCATTTAGTTCAGTCATAGTATAATATCGTCTCAACCATAGAAAGCAGCTAGAGCTGAAAGGGCTAAGTATCTTCCTTTCACGTATCTTCCATATAACTGAAAATTTTCATAATTTTTTACACAATCTCTCACATCGTATACTCTACTTATCATTTTATTCATTTCTACTTTTCACGATATTTTCCACAGAAAATTTTTAACAGGAAGTAGCACGCGAAAATATTCGTGGATTTCTATGAAATTTGCGTGATCTAAATCTTCCTCGATCGTTTCAGAGTATTCGCGTCAGAAATTTCGCTCGAATTTGCGTATCTTCGTTTCTAGTTTATAGCTAACTGTGATAACGGTTTTATCAGATAACGATACACGGTTAAATAATCGGCTGTCCTCTTTTCTCTCCTATTTTAATCAACGCGCCAGAGTAATTGGACCGAGCTGCGGATAAAATCTCTGGCAGATAAAAGCAACTGAAAAGGCAGTTAGACCGGCTCTAATTATCATGATCAACTGATCCTCTCGTCAAAAATTCACTAATCACCCGTCACGTGAATTATTGCGTAATCACTGTTATACGCACGTCCGTGGATTAAATCTATCGTGATTCACGGTTTACGATTCCCCGGTGTTTTCCACCATTTTTCGAATCACTTCGGCTAATAATAGACACGCTCGCATAATTCTCTGTGATTACCATTTAATTTCCAGTCGGGATGATATGTAGGAAAAACAATTTTTCTACGCTTGCCTGAACGATAACCCGGAGCTCCCTGTTGAGAGAAATTCAGAAAATGTTGCGTTGAATTTTTGTTCAATACAGAATTTATAATCAAATGCTCCAACGTGATTATTTGGACTGCAGTATTAAAAATCTGGAGATAATAAAAATACGTTGAATAAACATGGGCAAAAATTATATGTATTTATAAAAGTCATGTATTTTCATTTTCTCAAAGAGCGATGTATATATATAGCACACTGGATTAGATAACGAAAGAATTATGGAGAAACTGACCTGGAGAATTAAAAAAAATCGAAACTTTCTTCTAAAATCTTCTACGATCTTTAAACGTATTAAGTTCACTCGTGGAAGGAATTTTTGAGAATTTGAGAAACCAAAATCGGTTGTTTGACAATCATCGTGCAAACGAAAAGCTTTGTTTAATAAATATCTAATATGTCTTTATATAAATAGAAATAATACATCTTGCTATCACTGAATATTCCTAGGCAATATTTCCGAATAAAAATTGGTGAACAAAATAAAGAAAAATTTTAATTGAAAACTCTCCTAAAAGAATTTCCACTTGGAAGTTCTAAAATAAAAATTTTTTGTTATAAAATTTTGTAGATCTTTTATACAGAAATCTGTCACCTATATCGTTAACCGTTCTCCGTGATTTAATTAATAATTTTTTAATTTATTTTAACGCTTGATATTTCAAAATTTGATACAATCTTCTTCGAACGTCATGTACTCGTGAACGACTTGTCGAATCGTTTGCATAAAGTCGAAGAAGCTCCTTTTGGTCGAAGTGGAGTGCAAGAATCGTCTGAAGGTCGAGGTTACGCGTTTATAAGCACGGTCAAACGGCTCTGATCAATAAGAGTGGGAGAGAACTATAGGTATATCTGCTGGGCATAAGCTATCTCTCCTCGTATGCGTGATTCATTCGCGATTTCACAGCCAATTTGAATATTCAATTGATAAGCCTGTTTAATCCATGTGCTGGCATGTTTGCCTCGACTGAATCTTCCAACAGCCAACGACGAAATGTTTCCCCTCGACGATTTGTTATTTGGTTCACGTGGCGATACCGTGTATGGAATCATCTCTAGTTACTCGAACGATAATAGGTGTTAATTTCGGTCTGCTCTGTGGTAGAAAAAATTATCGATACAATATCTTATCCTTTGCTCTACCTCTAAATTTGACACTGCGATGATTATACACATCAAACAGTGATAATTACATCGAATCGATGAATATTTCAACAACTTAGTATTCCTAGAGTAATTTTCAATGGTGATTTATTGAGTCAAAGTAAGGTGATCTTGCAGTCAATTAGTATTATTATATAAGTACGAAGGTGTATTATAACATAATATGCTTATAAGTCTTCGATCAAACGCGGTGTTATATTACCAAATCTAATGTAATCTTTTCCAGACAGCAACCTTCTCATGTATAAGTAATAAAATGATATTTTCCAGTGGAATAAAATTCGCGTAATAAATTTCCATAATATGTACAATCGGATGAACTGACTCCTAAATTCAGAATTGCTAGATTTCCCAAGTAATAAAATATTATTATCAAACTTAATCCAATTTCTCTCAAACAACAACCTTTTCATAGCGGATAAAGATTTTTTCGAAGGATAAAATTCTCGTAATAAATTTCCATAATTTATGCGATGGAATGAACTGCTCCTTTCTGAATTCAGAATTGCCAGATTCCTCAAGCTAGATGGAACGAGCTTCTGACTTGTACTCAACGCCTGACCTTTCGATCTATCTTATCGTTGTCGCTGACACGCCATTTATTCCGGTTTCACCAAGAAATTTCACCCAAATAAAAAAACAAAGAAGAGGAGAAAACTATTCAATTTCGTCGTTGATATCCCCTATCTTCTTTCTCCAGCTTTACCATAGGTCGCAGAGATGTAACGAAATAACTGAAATAAAAAAGAAAAAAAAGAAAGAGAAACGAGTGAAACGAACTATAACGTGAACTACGTACAACCAGGCCAGGCGAACCAAGTTATTTTACGACTGTACAGAGCAGTCAGGGGTATTGTTATCGCAAAATCAATTCTTGCATTATTGGTCGTGCCCGATTCGTTCCCGCCATTTCCCAAGACTATCCAGAGGGAACTGGGTCAAGGTGGCTGTTGGTACTTGGTCTGATATGTTCCT